GGGAATCCCCTCTAGCACTTGGCTTGATCTAAGAAGCATCTCACTCATCGTCTTGTCCCTGACTGTAGTGTCGTGGCCAGGGAATTGCACCAAGACATATAACGATACCGGGCGGGGCTACGGACAGCCTCAACCTTGGGGCACCGGGTGGCACCCCATTGTATTTCTACATGCGGGGCTCTGTAGAAGTGGACTGACTGTCCCTAGCGACTCATAGGAACACTATGAGATCTGATAATAATAGTAATAAAAACATCACCGGTGAAACTGTGGGGAAACCCCCTAGCGAATGAAAGTTCCAAGGGGCCAAACCCAAAGAGAACCACAGGAGAGGTGGCTGACATTTGCGTGAGACCATCCTCCGCAAGTGGCATACAACTACCACCTCCTCCAAGGGTCGGGAGCCTACCTCCTACCTCTAAACCCAACAGGCGACACAAGCTACCGTTTCGTCTACCCGGCCTGGGTCGTAGCTCCTCGACTGTGAGGGACACGGGTCTCCGTAGGAAGTCCTGGGACTGTATGATGAGTTATAACTCAAGAAAGGGGGACACAATAGATCTCTAAGGTCGCAGAGATTAACCCCCCTCCCACTTATTCTAATTATATTCTATTCTACGGTTAAGGTCCGATGTCCGGTTAATATCGACATTACCCGGTTAATCTCGAGAATAACACACAACAAAACAACCAAAAACATATCCAAACCCAAACATTAACTTGTTAATGTCGACATTAACCCGAACATATTATATACTTGCTAGTCTAGTGACATTAGAAAATAAAGAGGAACAAAATAGCATTAAACAGCACAACAAGGAAATACAAGTTTGCAAACAGTGTCGTATTTCCCATTACGCACAATACGCCCAGGCGTAAAGCGGCAAAATCTTACGGGCGGCAAATTTTCAGAAAAAAATACTATAAATTGCGGCAAGTTGTCAAAAAATAATATAAAACTGCAACGAAGGCCAGCAGAATTATTCAGATTTTAAAACATAATCCATTTGCTGATTACTTTCCGTGTGCTGCCCATTCGTTGAATTTGGTGGGCGTCTGTGCTGCCGAATGTGCTAAAGATTTTTTGAAGCCTTACAAAAACTTTACATTTTTTTTTCAGCATCCACTCGTCGCGTCGTTGGGATATCCTGCTTTCCCATTTGAAAACCAGTGCTAAAGTCTCAAAACGGGCTGATGTTACAAGGTGGTCTGCACGCCATGCCATGACGCTTTGTTGAGTTTAACTGAGAGCTGGAATGAATATTTAAAGGCTTTAACAACAATTATTGAAGAAGCTCTTTCAGAAAAAACAACAGTTCGAGCGGAGGCAACTGGGATTAAAAACCGCCTAAACCGATTAGAAACTGCCTTTATGTCAGTTTTTTTGAGAAACCATATTAGAGCGATTCTATAAAACCAACAAAGTTATACAAAGCGTCGATATTGATACTGGTAACGTAACTGAACTCTTCTTGGCTCTTATAAATTTTGCAAAATCTTTGAGAAATTCAGTCATGTTTGAAACATACCTAGACAAGGCAAAAAAAATTATGGAGAAAAAATACGATGATGGCCGTCAAGTTGTCAAAAAATAATATAAAACTGCAACGAAGGCCAGCAGAATTATTTAGATTTTAAAACGTAATCCATTTGCTGATTACTTTCCATGTGCTGCCCATTCGTTGAATTTGGTGGGCGTCTGTGCTGCCGAATGTGCTAAAGATTTTTTGAAGCCTTACAAAAACTGTACACTTTTTTTTCAGCATCCACTCGTCGCGTCGTTGGGAAATCCTGCTTTCCCATTTGAAAACCAGTGCTAAAGTCTCAAAACGGGCTGATGTTACAAGGTGGTCTGCACGTCATGCCATGACGCTTTGTTGAGTTTAACTGAGAGCTGGAATGAATATTTAAAGGCTTTAACAACAATTATTGAAGAAGCTCTTTCAGAAAAAACAGCAGTTCGAGCGGAGGCAACTGGGATTAAAACCCGCCTAAACCGATTAGAAACTGCCTTTATGTCAGTTTTTTTGGGAAACCATATTAGAGCGATTCTATAAAACCAACAAAGTTATACAAAGCGTCGATATTGATACTGGTAACGTAACTGAACTCTTCTTGGCTCTTATAAATTTTGTAAAATCTTTGAGAAATTCAGTCATGTTTGAAACATACCTAGACAAGGCAAAAAAAATATGGAGAAAAAATACGATGATGGCCGTCAAAAAAAATCGAAAAAGAACACTTCTCCCAGGCGAAACAAGAGATGGAGATACAATTTTAACAGGCAGAGAGCAGCTAAAAATTGAAACGTATTTTGTTATACTGGATAGGGTTACAATGGAACTGCGCAGAAACGTCAAGAGGCGTACGACAGCGTGTTTATAAAGTTTAGATTCTTTTTTGATTTCAAAGAAATTTCCCAGGAACAATTAATACAAAGCACCAAAAACTTAACAAACATTCTATAATGATGTCCTGGAAGATGCTTTTACAACAGAATGCTTACGTTCTTTAGAAATAGTAAAAGAGACCGATATTCAATGAACACTGTCAAACATGCTTTCATATATTCGAACTCATAATTTGGAAGCAGTTTTTCCAAATCTGGAAATTGCTTTACGGATATTTGTATCCAGAGCGGTTACCGGCTACAGTGTGCTCAGCGGAACGGTTATTTTCCACACTTAAACGTTTAAAATCCTATTTAAGGGCCACTATGGAACAAGATCGTTTAAATGCCTTAACAATATTAACAATAGAATCAGTTTTAACGATTTAACTACAAGTATAAATTTTGACAAAATTTTTGATTCGTTTGCTGCCATTAAATCCCGGCGTAAATTATTTTTAATTTTTTTTATTTCTACGAATTCATTTGTTGTTTACTTATAAAAATAAGTTTTCAATATAACATTTTTGTTTTATTTTTGTTGTTATAGCGAATATATAAGGGCGGCATTTTTTTAGTGACGTAAGGCGGAAATTTGGTAAATCTGGCACTGTTTGCAAATGAACAAAGAATATCCCAGGTAGGTATTACCGTAATTTACTGCAATAGTAAATAATAAAATATAAACAAAGATAGTATTATACAGTGATTGTAGAAAAAACATCAAATATTGGTGCTTTTATAATTTTGAGATAGTACACTGAATAATATACATATAAAATATTATTCTAAAAGTTGTATTTCACCAATTTTATTTCCTGAATATCTCCAACAATTTACAAAAACAAAACGTAGAGTTCTACACGATATTCCAAAGCATACCGGAGGAATATTATCTCTATTTCTTATTCGATAAATATCCGATGGCTAAGTCGAACATTCCACAGAATTTATACATTGTACAAAACAGGAATTTGCTTCCGGATTATTCCCATTTCAGAGATAGCATCAGCTGCATCCTTGTTTTTGTTCCTTTGTTATTAGGTAAATTCAGTATTTAGTTCGAACATATTTGTTTTCTGACGAATATTTAATTAATATTTGTTTTGTACTGTATTTAAATTTTTGTAATTCATTAAATTGTAGTTTTGAAATTGTATTTAAATAAGCAATAAAAGATTTGATTAAATAAAGCTATTGTAAAATTACTTTTGTGACAGAAGGTTTTCTCGAAAACTATAGCGGGTGTTACTCAAAAGTGGATCATCCCTATAACCTTTTTATTTTTTCAGATAAATAAATGAGATTTGGTATGTTAGTACATGACATAAATCAGGATTGATTGGCATATTCAATTGTTTTCGGTCACTTCCTGTTTCACTGGAAATGACTACAACTTTTGATTTTTAAATGTCAGCCTCGGTGTATTTCTACTTTATTAGATAGAAAATGGCACTCTGAGTAGAATGACATATCATATGTCAATATTTGACATTCTCGCTTAAAAAAATGTATATTAAATTTCAATCTAGAGTGCTATCGCTGTGAACAAGCTAAGAAACACTAGTTTTTAATCAAGGGGCCTTGGAAAAATAGATTTGATCTTCTAGTGTTATTCGTGTCTTGTCCTGGCTGGTTAAAAGATGCCCAAATCGCATCTTTAATCGTAACTCAATTTTTTCAAACGAAACACGGGTGGCTCATTAGCATATTTGGAAAAAGCATTTTTTGTGAGTAATTTGCTATTTTTTTTTAATTAAAAATGTCAAAAGTTGGCATACGATGTGTCATTCTATTCAGAATGTTGTTTTCTATCAAATGAAGTAAAAAAATATCGAGGGTGTCATTTAAAAATCAAAAGTTGTAGTCATTTCCGGTGAAACAGGAAGTGACCGAAAACAATTGAGTACGTCAATCAATCCTAATTTATGTCATATACTAACATATCAAATCTCGTTTTCTTATCTGAAAATATAAAAAAGTTATAGGGGATGAGCCACTTTTGAGAAACACCCCGAATACATTTAAACAGAATTTTAAAAGAAAAAGGTAAATGTTAGGTTGTCACTTATAAATCTATTAAAAAACTTTATTAACGAATATTGTATATGATTATAATATGATACGATCGAAAAAAAACGGCGTCAAAGATGATTGGGGAATGGCAATGATGATAATTTTGGCGAGGTAAAGCCCTGGACGTCATTATTTGGTCCTGACTATTCTTTACTAGGAAGGTTGTAATTTATTTTTATATTTAGTAAAAGTTATTTTTATGTACTCATAGTGTAGTTTAAAATTCAGGAAACATTTTTTTTTGGAAACAGATTTGTGAGTCTGCAAACGTTCTATCCTTTTTTAATTGTTGTATAATTAGTGTTAATTTTTGACAAGTCTTATGTCAAAATTTTTTATTAAATGGCGTCTAGAGATTGACCTCGCCAAAATTATCATCAACTATCATTCCCTAGCCGTCTTTGACGCCGTTTTTTAATCCTGTGCGAAAAAACTGAGCGTCTGTGGGTCTTTAGTTATTGTTTTTCATCAGAAAATACACTCTTATTGGTGTAAAGTAAATTAACGTAGAAAGTTTAAATAAAATTTGAAATAAAATACCTTATTATTGCATTAAATAACAAGTTATATTACAAATAATTTACTTAAATTAAAACAGTCGGTTTTGCTTGGGTCGATAACATTATATCCTTAATGCAGTACAGAGGTTGAGTATGACAAAGGAGCAGATATTTTAGCTACAGGAGCGGCATAGGCAATTGGCGCCGGAGCGGCGAACTTGGCTACAGGGGCGGCATAGGCGATTGGCGCGGGGGAGGCGAACTTAGCTACAGGGGCGGCATAAGCGATTGGTGCTGGGGCTGCGAACTTAGCTACAGGGGCGGCATAAGCGATTGGAGCTGGAGCGGCGAATTTGGCAACAGCGGGGGCGGCTACAACGGCTTTGGCGACTAGGGGTTCCTTGTGTACTACTGCGTTGAATCCGTTGACTGGGTCGGCGGTGTACTCTACGGTTCTCTTGGTACCGTCAGGGTCTACAACTGAGTAGGAGCCTTGAACTACATCTCCGCTACGGCTTTCGTACTGTAAATCAAGAAAATAGACTTAACTTAAATAAATAGCTAATAAAAAAATAATTAAGTAGAATACGAATATTGGTTTACTCCAAAGGAAGAAACCTTTAAGCAAATTTGTTTTCCCAAAGAATTTTGTCCAGGGATTTATTGTATTTCTTTTATATTTTATAGTAAGAGATTTTGTCTTACTCAACTAAGATGATTATTTGACTCCTATGTTTTATTTTAAATTAGTGTAGGTCTACGCAAAGATGGTACTTTTCCAGGCGGTACTTTCCAGGCTATTAGCCTACTTAATAGCCTGGAAATTCTATGGGACCAAAACATTTCCAAGGACAAGAAACAAAATATATATATAACAGTATTGTAAAAAACGTTATAACCTATAGCAGTGAAGTATGGCAACTAAAACAGAAAACAGAAAAGATGCTGGAATCAACAGAAATAGAATTCTGTAGACGATCAGCCGGTAAATCAAGGATGGAAAAAATTACAAAGGAAACGATCAGGGAAATTGTAAGCGTCAAACATTCTATAGTGGAAGATATAAAAGTAAATCAACTTAAATGGTACGGGCACGTCCAAAGAATGACCTACAATAGACTACCAAAAAAAAATTCTGAATTGGACACCCACTGGTGAAGAGAGGGAATAGATCGAGAAATAGAAGACAGACAACTAGAAGAAAACCTCTGGCAAGATAGGCAACAATGAAGACTAGAAATCAGAAGACGTCGTAGAACGTTATAACACCGATATACAGGGTGAGTCTTAAATAAGTGCAAATATTTCCAGGGCTGGTAGATCTCGATAAAAGAAACATATTTTATATTTACAGTTTTTCAAAAAAATCCAAAATAACTGAGTTATTTTACTTTGAAAATTTCCAATAGAAAATATTTTTTCCTTAAATTTTGAGAACCACTGGATCTTTTCTGGATTTTAGTTCTTGTAAATTTAATCTACTACATATGTTGTTATATTATCAACAAATTATGCTTTTTAACTAAAAACTAAAAAAAATCCAAAATTTTTTTAAAAATTTTCCGATTTTTTTTTCGCCAGTACACACCGTTTAGGTGCCATTTTTACAGATAGCCAAGCAGTTGATAAAGATCCCCGCTTAAATAGAAGTCATTGCTGAAGTAGCATGGGAATTTGTGAGTGCTCTCAATACATGGAGTGAACAAAGTAAGGTTATACTAGCACAACGATTTCAAGAGCAAAAAAAGGCAAATGAAATGAAACAAATATTGCTTATCAATAGCATTTGTAGAAAACTCTTCTGCGGTTCTACAAAAATGGCCACAAAAAACTGGGTGGCCAACAAATCTCTAGAATAGTGGAAAACTTCACAAGGACAGAGGCAGGCAAAAAAGTTCTTAGTAGAACATTCAAAATTTACGGCAGATTTAAGCTCAATGTAACTTGGATATTAAAGGAGGACCAAAATAGATCTCTAAAACTCGCAGAGGAATAGGCAAATAACCACCTAAAAATCAAATCTAATCTAAGGTTATTTAAAATTCTTACCTGGCTTTTGCTATCTCCAGTAAGACCATCTTGGACATCATATCCGAAAGAATACTGAGGGTTGGGATCATATTCTTCTGATACAACAGCCTTTGCTACTGGTGCAGCTACAATCGTTTTAGCTACAGGGGCGGCATAAGCTAAAGGGGCGGCTACTTTAGCTATTGCAGGGGCGGCATGATACGCCAAGGGAGCGTGTAGTAGGTTGCCAGCGCGGGCAACAGCTACCAAAGCGGCAAAAGCTACAAACTGAAATAAAAGAAAAAGAAGTTCAGGTTAAGTCTTCTCAGGTTAAGTCTTCTCAGTCAAGTTTCTAGTTATAATTCTAGTATACACTAGAATTATAACTAGAAACTTTACTATCTCTATAACATACTTGAATAATATACTGTACGATCGAAAAAAAAGCGCCAGATTGCTTGGAAATGGCAATTAATGACTTTTACCATTAAATTTTACCAAGAAATGACAGAGATCTTTATTTCCAAGCCAACCATCGGCTTATTTTGTAGTCATATTGAAGTTTGTTTTCATCTGACTAGGAATTTAGTATACCTAGCATAGATAAATGAAACAAGATTAGATTGGAAAGTGCCCATAAGGACAATGTAAATACTATTTGGCGCTATTCTGGCAAGGGTCGCGACCCAAAGCTTTTGATAATTTCGGATCGGTTCGGCTTTTTCCGGAATTATGTAGCCAAATATTGTTTATTCAAATTTATTATTTTAATTTATTATTATTTTCTTTTAATTTTATAAATAAAATACAGTGTGTTGCATACAGGAAACATTATTTTATACCGTATGATCACATAAAAACGGCGTCAACTATGGCTATGAAATGAAGATCGCTGTCATTCTATATGTTAAATTATATGGGAAATGTGTGTCATGAATCGTCATTTCATAGCCATCGCTGACGCCGTTTTTATTTGATCCTACTGTATAAGGACATGTATGAAATACCTATGAAACATTGGAAACCGAAGTTATGCCATGATCAACGATGGTTTTGCAGTTGACACTTCACAACACAGCTTAGTTTTTAATGCCATTTTTTCACAATTATCACAAATTTATTCAACTCAGAAGTAGCAATAATTACTTGGTGAATGGACGCTTTAAACACTTTTTGGTATTTTATCAATGAGGGCGGTTTAAATTTTGAAAGATTTTATAATTTTTGTAGATTCTGACTTTGACAAGAGAAAATTATTTCTGTTATTGTTTGCGGTTGTTCTTAGCAACCGCTATAGCAGCGCCAGATCGCGTATAACGGTCGCGACTCAAAACAATTATATATTTTGACGGGCATTCCATCAATCTAAATTTATTTTCTTATATAAAGGATGATACCTAGAAAAACCGATAAAAGATGATACGTAGAAAAACAAAAGTTTTCGTGCGTGATACACATCTGATACCAGTGTTTCAACAACAAAATCGGTTTATATTCAAATATACCTTGACTGAATGTAAAAAAATACTAAATGACTTGACGGTTATCTGCGCAAAATTAATGCAGCATCACGCTTCTTTTGAGTTATAACGACTGTTTCGCTTTTTCAATTAAATTTCGAACTTTTATGGGACGTCATGGATTTGAGCTTCGGCTGGAGAGGAAAATAGAGATTTTTTATCGGAATAAACCGGTAGGCATTTTTGAAGAGAATATTATAATTTTTGCATTAATTTTAGAGAAAAACTTAGTAAAAGGTATGATAATAAGTATACCTGCAGTAATATTTTATATACAGGGTCGCTTTTATGTATCGAAACGGTCGATTATTAAGTAAAATATACAAGGTACCGTAAAAAGTTAAATACAAAAATTATAGCGTTGTTAAATGTCTATTGGCGAGTAATAAATTTAAGTATACAGGGTTGCTCATAAAGTCGTGGCACATCAATGTTTCATTCTTTTTAAATAGAACCCCCTGTATATTATTGCATATTTTAATTCTTCCTTTAATTCTAATCAAAAATCGAAATACACATAATGTTCCGAATTATTGACTTTTGAACATATCACTTTTGATTTGGCAATTTGACAACTTGATTTAATTAATATTGATATGTCCAGTTTCATTTAATGATGTCATTCTGCCAAAACTGTGATACTGTTGTAATGGGTTTTTAAATGCCTATTAGCTACTAGTAAATTTAAGTATACAGGGTAGGTCATAAAGATGTGGCACATCAAACTTTTTTTTAATGAAATCCCCTGTATATTATTGCATATTTCAATTCTTCCTTCAATTTTAAGTAATAATCGTAATACACAATGTACATAAATTGAAGAATTGAAATGTTAAACTTAAATTTTGTAATTTCCAGATTTGATATAATCTTATTTTATGCATCTATAAACGCTAACTTGAGAACTAATGTCAAATATTATTAAGTATCACAGTTTCGGCAGAATGATATCGTTAAATGAAACTGAACGTTGAACTGACACAACTGACTAAGTGATATTTTCAAAAGTCAATAACTCGGAAACGGTTGGTTTGAGGTACATAGTGTCTATTTCGATTATTATTAATTGAAATATGCATATTCTATTTAAAAAAATAAAATTTGATATACCACGACTTTATGACCTACCCTGTATACATGAATTTATTACTCGCTAATAGATATTTAAAAATCCTATAACTTTTGTATTTAACTTTTTGCGATACCTCCTATATTTTACCTAGTATAAATGGTATACCTGTATAAATAGAACAAAAACCTGTATAAATAGAACAAAAAAATAAAAAGTAATACAACCAAAACCTAACCTAACCAAATTCCTAAAAAGACGCTTTTAAAACATTAACTTAAACTCCATTTTTTGAGAGTTTTATTTGACATTCCATTTGACACATAAACTAACTGAAATGACCTAACCTAACTGAAACATAACCTAACCTAACTGAAAATTGCATACGTCAGTTTTTGTTAAGTTTCTAAATTCGTTTCATGTAAAGTGAACAAATTTGGAAAGACATTGTGCCAGGACTTGAGTTAGAGTGATATTCTGGATCAGAAAAAAACGAAACAAATTTTTACTAGTAATTACTTATTAAATGTTACCGAGTAGTAAACCAATGAACTGTAAAATTAATTTCAAATAAACCTAAATGTTTCAAAATTAACTTAATTTTTTTATTTTTACAGGCCGATTTTGATGATCTTTACAGCAGTTTGCAGCTAAATTATTTATTTGTCTTTTTTTATAATAAAAGTTATGTGCCATTTGTCTACTATACGAGGGAAAACAAAATTTTATTTTGGCGAAAGTTTAAAATACCCCTATGGAACGGTTTAACAAATTAAGCAATTTAAAAACCATTTTTTCATCAAGATGTATCTTTTCTCCATAGTTTGTTTTTTAATATCGCAATATTTTTATTTTTGTTAGTTTGTTTGTTTAATGCTAAAATAGTTGTAAATCATTGTTTTCTTAAAAAGCGAATATCTTCAATAAAAATAAAGCTGTTGAAATAAAGCAAAAAGCAAAGCATAGAGAAGAAATACACCTTGATGTTAAAATAAATTTTAAATTCTTTATTTTGTTAAACAGTTCTACAAGATATTTCAAACTTTTGCCAAAAAATCTACCTTTTTGTTTTGTCTCGTAAGATAGGCAAATGGAAACCTATTTTAAATTTAGAAAGAAACTAAAAAGCTAAATAATTTAGCTGCATATTGCTTAAAAAATCATCTCATTAAAAAAAATTAAAAATTTTTATTCGTGTTCTTATAATTATTCTGTTGTAACAGAAAAAGTACTTTAAATAAAATTTGATTTGGAATTGTAATTAAACAGTATGTTCCCGTATTGTTTTTACAATTATTGTTATTGTGTTTGACTCTGTAGGTTTGACTAATAGTAATAATATTTAATAATAAATTTTGATTAACGTCATATTTTTTGCTGTTTTAAAAAGTTAAAGAAGCACAAAATTTATTTAGTTCAAAGCTACGGTAAGAGTGATAATAATTATAGGAAAATGTCATACTTTAACAACAGCAAAAAATATGACGTTAATCAATTAATAATAACCATCTATCAAAGAATGAAATCGTCTCTGGTTTTAAGAAAAAAGTTCAACCATATTTTCATGTTTTTTTCTGTATATATAAAATGGTTAATCCCGTATAAACGGGATAAACCATTTTAGAACGAGCAAAAATGTATTTTTTTTCAAACGTCACAAAACTATTAATTTTTGCGACGTAATTGACAATATAAAAAAGTCATTTTAACGCTTAGGCATAAAAGTAAAGCACTTTTACTAAAGCACAAAAGTACGAAAATATATTATTAAGCTGACATAAAGTATCAAATTCAACGAGCGTAACCATAGTTTCTCGATATACAATTACATACAAGGTATTACTTACAAGGTAAATCTTTTTATATTATTTGGAACGTTTCAAATTATTTAAAAAATTATTTGTGGCGTTTGAAAAAAAAATTGCATGTCTATTGGGAGTAAAAATGACTTTTGGTGGCTCGCCTGTATGTCGCGAAAGATACAGCCTCGCCACGAAAAGGTGTCATTTTTAGTCCTAATAAAACAATATACTATTTTCTCAAAATGTCAATAATAAAAATATGTTCCTCTTTTAAAGACAATCCGGGATCATACTGTAGAAAAAAAATATAATAAAAAATGTAATATTGTAAATTATTAAAAAAAATCTAACAGACAATTTTCAGTAGGTAATCGTGATTCTTATAGCCTAATATCTGCCTACCTTAAAAGCCATGATTGATTCTTAGTTTCTTGATTGTTTATCGTTGTTACCACTGTAAGATCAAGTGATGTTGTGCGTGGTTATCGTCGGCTCCACCCGGTTTTTATATGATTTAATTGTGATCGACGGTCATCGAGATCATGTACGTACGCCATTGTCACCAAAAGGCTAGCGGGCCAAATTTCGTCAGAACCGGCTCTGTACAAAGGTCGACTCCTTCGGCAAATCGAAGCGGCTCTTTAGCGCTTTCGGCTTTGCACATTTTCAGGAAATGCACGTTGTTATTTTCTCACTGCGGGGATTATGCGGATGATTGATGGGGTAATAATGATATCGGATTTCGGGTGCAATTAAATTGGGTAAGAGATTAAGATGCAAGTGTATGCGATTTAATTTTTGTATACGGGATGTTTCAAAAAACATGGGCCATATTTTGTGGGGAGATTCTTCACGTAAAAATAAGATTTATTTTTTATATCAACATAGGTCGGATTC